TGCAATGTTGGGTCTATATCAGTGGTTCTCATTATGTAGCCTGTGGACCACCAGTGGTCCGCAAGAGCTTAAATATGGTCTGCGGTGTCACCATTACTACATCGTTGCAATTAGAGCTACTGCTCTCATTAAACCCTCTTATAGTGCCGAAGCTTATTAAATATGGTTCTCGGTGGGCAAGCGGATGGTGACTACTGGATAGCATATGTTCTGTATCAGAAACTAGAGCTGATGTTGTCTATCCAATGCAATTTTCTGAATCAGTACCCCAAGTTACTAAACTGAAACTAAAGTTGACCAAAAACTGATTCGTAACCCTTTTGGTACTAATTTTGGAGAGTGGTCCCTAGTTAAATGGTCTCTGATCACGTGGTCCCTGGTCAACTGGTCCCTGGTCAAAGTGGCCTCTTGTCAAAGTGGTCTCTGATCAAAGTGGTCCCTGGTCAAAGTGGTCCCTGGTCAAAGTGGCCTCTTGTCAAAGTGGTCCCTGGTCAAAGTGGTCCCTGATCACATGGTCCCTAGTTAAAGTGGTCCCTGGTCAAGTGGTCTCTGGTCAAAGTGGTCCCTGGTCAAAAAAACGGTTGGGAACCACTGGTCTATATGCCAGTAATAGAAAAAAACAAAGAAGTTTGGGATATATATATACACACACAAATATGCATTCTACCCACTACTCTATAATACAGCAGCTAAATACTTTTTAGAAATAACAAAACATAAACACAAAAGTAAAATTCACAAATACAAGGATAAATCTTTCAAACAAAAAAAATCTAATCGACAAAACTCTCGCTTGCTCTCTGATGGTTTTGATCTCTTGTCTACTCCCTTTAAACGATATTATATAATCACGTGTTTACTTTAATTACACTCTACTAATTCGTAAATCCCACGATTAACAAATGCCCCTAACCTTGTTATATCAATAAACAAATCCCAATGTATGTCTCTTGAAACTGAAAATATATTTCTGCTGAGATTTTTGAGGGTATATTTATTACCCATTTTCCCTGCCTGATAAGTAAATTGGCCATATGCATATTGCAAAAAGAACAATATCGCAAAAAAGATGGATAAAAGTGAATATGCTGAGACAAAAATTTGGAAAGAAATGACGTATTTTAACTCAGAAATACATATTAATTGCATGTTGATAATAGTATGCTTGAAATTATTTTAGTGCTATGGACTGATTCATCCAGCTTTGATAGCGATGTTTTGTAAGTTTTAACTATGCTGTTTTTGTTTAACTATACAGTTATGACCACAACAATACTGTTTTTTGGTTTTCAGTCCCAGTTTAGGGGAAAGGATGTAGAGAATATTAAGCTCATCATCATTATCAGCTCATTACAGTGGAGAGGAAGGATGCCAGGTGACCTGCCTGCCATCCTTAAGCACATTAATTGAGACCTAATTCCCACTTTCAGCAAGATACGTGCGCAGAGGATTATTGCTTGCCTAGGATTTGTTATTTATTTATATCCCTACTTTCTCTCAATGATGACAGCTCATCGAAATGCTGAAACAAGGTAAAAATTAAAACCAGGTACTACAAAATTAAAATACAGTTGAACAAGTTATCGTGTTAACATGACATCAGCTCCATAAGCTCCACTCTTCTCCACTCCCTCCTTCTTCCGAGGCACTGATGAAAAAAGTGTGATTATTTTGTGATGAAATACAATACTCCCAAATCCAAAATTGTCCTTTGCTCATGAACAAAGTTTTTAAAATATTGTTTATTGCCTTCAGGCTAGGTGTATAAAGTGCCTTTGGGTGCATCTGCATCTACACTGAAGAAATAATGCTGTTTGACAACAGTTGAACTGCCATGGTGAGTCACTAGCACTCTTTGGCAGAGAAGTCTTCAAGAAATGACAGGTTCCATGATTCCATAGTACTCTATTGAATCATGGAACCTGTCATTTCCCGTAAGACTTCTCTGCCAAAGAGTGCTAGTGACTCACCAAACTACAAGCCATGGAGTTACAGTGGGGTCAAACTGCATTAATTCTACAGTGTAGATGCATCCTAGGGGCCACAGTTAGCACAGCGGGTTAAATTACCAGCTACAAAAAAATCTTGCCGACCGGAAAGCTGGCAGTTCAAAGCCGCGAGTGGGGGTGAGCTCCCACCGTCAGCCCTAGCTTCTGCTTACTGTCAGATTTATGGTTGACGAGGCGATAAAAACTGCTCCGACACACAGTCGTAAAACAATAAATTCATTAGCTTTATTTACAGAACTATATACAAATAGTAGAGTTGCATTGCGATCTGCTCACGGTAAAAGCAACTTCAGTAACGGTGTCTAACCTCCTTCTTCTCATTCAAGCTCAGTAGAAACCGCCCACTTCACATACAAGGCATTATACGTCACACACAAGAAATAGAAACTAATACACTTAACACTATGCCTGCTGAACATTATTTCAAACACATGCTTGCAGCATTAAAATCTCATTTTTGGAAATCTACTACATAACCCAAAATACAGATGCTGACACCTAGCAGTTCAAAAACAGCAATGTGAGTAGATCAATAGATACCACTTTGGCGGGGAAGTAATAGGCACCCTTGAAGAAGTCATGCTGGCAATTCAATCAGGAAGGCGTTCATGGACAACAGGCTCCATGGAAAATAGAACAACAGCACCTCCTCGTGGCCAGGTTGAGCATAGCCTCCAGATGCCGGAAATGAAAAAGAGGGAAGCCTTGCCTCTATGTAGTCTGTCATTGTTAATTATATAATGGCATTGAGTGTTTGCCTTATATGTATTCTGTAATACATGCTGAGTCCCCTCGGGGAGATAGAGCAGAATATAAATAAAGCATATTATTATTTTACTGACACAAAAGCACAGTATGTCACAGCAAACAAGATCTATATGCTGGATTTTGTATCAAAAAAATCACAAGATTATTATTATTATTATTATTATTATTATTATTATTAAGGATAAAATAATTTAATGCTTGGTCTTGGGTTCCACAACCAGGAAATCTAATTGTATACATATATACACACATATACATGGATGAAATGAGATTTCCTGGACATGTAACCTAAGACTCGGCTCTCAAGCATTTTGGATAAGGAAATCTCAGCCTTTACACTAAAGGAACTAGTGTGTAACACAGCATTCAGGATGTGTACCTGCATATAAACAACTCCATTTATGCAAGTGTAAACTGACTACAGATATTGCATCGTAGCATAAAAATGCAATTGTACATGTAAGGGAACATCTATGTATGCAAAGCACTAAGGAATATAAGCCTATGATTCTGTAATGTTTATTTTACAGAAGGCATTGATATAAATCACCAATACACTTCAGTCTTCTTTTAAAAAATTACGTTGCAACGTCGTCGTCGTCGTCTCCCCCTCTTCATATTCTTGTAAAAATATCTCGGCAGAACTGTTTTAACGGGATTAGTATTACATCTCCCTTTAATTGCTGGTGAGATTGTTCAGATAATTGGTTTATTAAGTAAACCAAACTGAGAGCAGCTGTTGTCATTAAGCCTTTGAAATGCAGTGCCTTTTGTCGCCAACCTCAAATAAGGGTGAATGCACAATTAAGGCGATTCAGCTTGATATTGGACCCCCTCCTGCCCTCGAGAATGAATGCTAATTTATGCACTTTCCAGTTAAACGTTCTGTATTAGAACACTTTCTTGCTCTTGGCGGTTCAGTTAATCCTTCCTGGCAGAGGCGCAAGTGTTAGCTCACAGCATTCCAAGGAAAGCCTTAAAGCATGGAAGGATCCACCAGGTAGTTTCCTCATGCAGGTGCCACGGAAATGAACGTGTCACATATTGATGGAAATTATGTGAAAAATAAATAACCAAATGGATTCTGCCTGGCAAAAACTACAGAAACATACCACATTCGTACCTGTCTGAAATCGTAATAATAATAATAATAACAACAATTTTATTTCTTACTCGTCTCGCCTCATGGCCCAAGGCAGGCCATAACAGTTAAAAACATCAACATAAAAACTACACAAACTGACACACTTAAGGATGTCTAATAATAATAATAATAATAATAATAATAATAATAATACCGGCATCGAGGAAAAGCAACAGGAAAAACTCAGCCGTTATCAAGACCTCAAAATTGAACTGCAAACGCTCTGGCATAAACCAGTACAGGTGGTCCCAGTGGTCATCGGCACACTGGGTGCCAAAAGATCTCAGCCAGCATTTGGAAACAATAAACAATGAAAAAATCACGATCTGTCAACTGCAAAAGGACACCTTACTTGGACCTGCGTGCATCATTCGAAAATACAGTCCTAGACGCTTGGGAAGTGTTCGACTTGTGATTTTGTGATATGAAATCCAGCATATAGATCTCGTTTTGTATCAGTAAAATAATAATCACCTTTATTACTTAATAATCTGCCCAGAAAATCAGGAGGCAGAGGACTTCTGCAAGTGAAACAAATGGTAGAAGAAGCGAAACATGCAACACCTCAGCAAGCTAGAGTCCAAAAGTGGCAGGCTAAAACACTGCACGTCAACCCATCACTGATAACAAATGAGAGACTCCCCTGTACACACAGAAGACTGGGCGACCTGGAAGATGCTGAACAGACTGTGCTCTGGCACCAGGAGATGCAGAGCCAACCTTCAGAAATGGGGCTACCAAGTGGAGTCCACGACATGCGAGTGTGGAGAAGAGCAAACCACAGACCACCTACTGCAATGCATCCTGAGCACAATGGAGAACCTTCTTGTTGCAACCCCAGAGGCACTCCAAGTGGCCAGCTACTGCTCAAAGGGCATTTAGTATAATGCAAAGTTCTTAAACTTTGTGTCTATCTTAAATACATTGCAACTGCACCCTTGGTTTGCTTCTGATACAGTCAATTAATCTGTCTGACTTTCCTCTCTGAGCAATCCTTGCCAGGAAAACAGCAGGAGATGGGTGGCCTTTCCTTTAGAAGGGAACTGGTCCAGCCTTCTTCCAACCAACCCAGGGATTTGCTTCCGAGTGAACGCCCCAGGAACCGGAACGGGAGCTTTTGCTGCCCAGGGAAAAACGAAAGCAAGGGCTGCCAACGGGTCTTTCTCTTGCTGGCTGGAGCGGAGCTGCCTTTCTCCAGAAGAGAAGGAGGAAGAAGGCAGCAAGGCATGGCTGGGGAGAAGGAGCCAGGAGGGACCCTCCGGGAGGTGCTGCAGAGCCGCCTCCAGGCTTTGGGCATCGAGGCAGTCACTGTGGAGCACCCAGAAGTGAGTCTGTGCAAAGGGGAAAGGCCTTTCCATTCAAATCGCATTGCATCCATGCTGTAGACCAGGCATGGGCCAACATGGGCCCTCTAGGTGTTTGGGAGTTGAAGTCCAAAACACTTGGAGAGACCCAAGTTGGCCCAAGCCTGGTATAGATAGCAGCACCCTTTGTTTACTTTTTTGACTGCACAAGATTATTGATTTCTGCAATGCAACAAATGCAATAAAAAACAAGAATTGGAAAAGCCTGCAATGACCCAAAGTGACATTTATGCAAAGAGAGTGGGGCAAGACAGTGGAGCACCTCATTTGGGGTTGCAAGAAAATAGCCCAGACTGACCATATTGAACATCACTACAGGCTAGCAGCAATGGCGCACTGGAAACTTTGCAAGACCCTAACCCTAAAAGGTAAAGGTAGTCCCCTGACATTAAGTCCAGTCATGTCTGACTCTGGGGTGTGGTGCTCATCTTCATTTCTAAGCCGAAGAGCCAGCATAGTCCATAGACACCTCCAAGGTCATGTGGCCAGCATGACTGCATGGAGTGCCGTTACCTTCCCGCCGGAGCGGTACCTATTGATCTACTCACATTTGCATATTTTCGAACTGCTAGGTTGGCAGAAGCTAGGGCTGACAGCGGAAGCTCACGCCGCTCCCTGGAATCGAACCTGCGACCTTTCGATCAACAAGCTCAGCAGCTCAGTGCTTTAACCCACTGCACCTGCAGTAAAACCTGGTATGAGCACGAGACGGAAAAGAGTTCAGAATGCTCCGTGATTATAGGTTAACTATAAATCCTGGCAACTACAACTCCCAAATGAAAAAATCAATCCCCCCCTCCAACCCCACCAGTATTCAGATTTTGGCGTATCAGGTATTTGTGCCAGTGCATGAAAGTACATCCTGCATATCAGATATTTACCTAACGATTCATAACAGTTGCAAAATTACAGTTATGAAGTAGCAACAAAAATGTTATGGTTGGGGGTCACCACAACATGAGGAACTGTATTAAGGGGTTGTGGCATTGGGAAGGTTGAGAACAACTGCCATACTCAGGCATGTAGCCGGGGGGGGGGGGGGCTTCAGCCCCCCCCCCCCCCGAAATTCTCATGGTGGTTCGCGAAAAGGCCTTACTGGTGCATTATTTAAACTGTTATGTTTATTCATATCACGATCTGATCACCATACTCAATATATCCCATATGCATGGGGGTATTGGGGTAATGATACAAAAGGTTTGCTAGGCTAGACCCTCTTTCACTCAGACTCACCCCCCCCCCTGAAACTCCCCCCGAAACTCAGCCCCCCCTGAAATTCCCCCCCCCCCGAAACAAAATCTTGGCTACGGGCCTGGATACTCTACCGATGCTTAAAAGTAACATACCATGCTGTAATCTTGGCTGCGGGCCTGGATACTCTGTTGTTTGTTGTTGTTCATTCGTTCAGTCGTCTCCGACTCTTCGTGACCTCATGGACCAGCCAGAGCTCCCTGTCGGCCGTTACCACCCCCAGCTCCCTCAAGGTCAGTCCAGTCACTTCAAGGATGCCATCCATCCATCTTGCCCTTGGTCGGCCCCTCTTCCTTTTGCCTTCCACTTTCCCCAGCATAATTTTCTTCTCTAGGCTTTCCTGTCTCCTCATGATGTGGCCAAAGTACTTCAACTTTGTCTCTAGTATCTTTCCCTCCAGTGAGCAGTCGGGCTTTATTTCCTGGAGGATGGCCTGGTTGGATCTTCTCGCAGTCCAAGGCACTCTCAGAACTTTCCTCCAACACCACAGCTCAAAAGCATCTATCTTCCTTCGCTCAGCCTTCCCTAAGGTCCAGCTCTCACATCCGTAGGTGACTACAAGGAATACCATGGCTTTGACTATGCGGATCTTTGTTGCCAGTCTGATGTCTCTACTCTCTACCGATACTTAAAAGTAATATACCATGCTGGCTCCCAGTTGCCATCTAGGATATTTTGTAAGTCACTTTTATTCCAGTGGGGGAAAAGCAGGAAACACACATATATAATCATAATTTTAAGATAAAGACAATTGGATGCAATTGATGTATTGTCAAAGGCTTTCATGGCTGGAATCACTGGGTTGTTGTAGGTTTTTCAGGCTCTATGGCCATGTTCTAGAAGCGTTCTCTCCTGACGTTTCGCCTGCATCTATGACAAGCATCCTCAGAGGTTGTGAGGTCTTCACAACCTCTGAGGATGCTTGCCATAGATGCAGGCAAAACGTCAGGAGAGAACGCTTCTAGAACATGGCCATAGAGCCCGAAAAACATACAACCCTGCACACAACTTAGTTGGGACTTCTGCGATGTGCATCAAGTGGACATGAGAGTGAAGTTACTTTATATTCTTTGGGTTACCGATCACACATTTTAGCTTTTGAATTAATCGAGGAGTAATCGTATGTTCCAATTGTGTCTTCTAGGTGTTTACAGTCGAAGAAATGATGCCATATGTGCAGCATTTGGAAGGGGCCCACAGCAAAAACCTTTTTCTAAAAGATAAGAAGAAGAAAGGGTTGTTTCTGGTGACAGTTCTGCACAACCGACAAATCAATTTAAATGACTTGGCGAAGAAACTGGGCGTCGGAAGTGGGAACCTGCGCTTTGCCGACGAAGCGGCCATGTTGGATAAGCTGAAGGTCGGCCAGGGATGTGCCACCCCCTTAGCGCTTTTCTGCGACCAGGGAGATGTGAAGTTTGTGCTGGATGATAGCTTTCTGAATGGGGGTCACAATTGGTTGTATTTTCACCCAATGACAAATGCAGCAACCATGGGATTACATCCAGATGACTTCCTAAAATTTCTGAAGTCCACAGGACATGAACCCACCCTTGTACACTTTGATGAAAGTGACAAATAGCCTTTGGGACACTCATTTTTGTCTGGGGGCCTTTGCATTTGTATTGAAAATTCAGAAATATAAATTATGCTTATCACTCTTGGAATCCTGTTGGTGTGACATACTGGCATAACTCTCACTGATATGACCTTGTGTGGTTATTGCAGGAGGAGGTATCTAGGATCTTCCTTGAGAAACAGCCCTCCATATATGTGTAAATCATGTTTGAATGTTTCTACTGCCAATAAGTGACCAGAAGGATGTGAAACATTTTGGCTGCAGTTTTGTCCTTCAGTGAAAAGACAAGACTTCTTCCATTTGCTCACCTGTAAAATGGTATCCACATGGTGCTCCAGTCTCCCCTGGCCACTGATTAACTGTGTCTCCACTCTTTCTAGTTGGTGTTGTGCTCATGGTGAGAAGCAAAGGCTAAGCAAGGTATGCTGGCATAGATGTGCCCTCCACTATCAGGATACAGGATCTCAGTGAATTTCTGGTCCCATTCCTTTCAGCGTGTGGGCTGCAATACAGCAGAAACAACTGTGGGGGCTTCATTAGACTCCCAGAAGATTTTGGAGGACCATTCACTGCACCTCCTGCAAAAAAAGAAATACCCCCCCCCCCCAATATAGAGCATTTTGACCATGTTTTCAACTCCCCTTGGCCATTTTAGATCCAGGACAGTACATTTTTAAAAACAGGAAGTGAGCATAAGTCACTTCCTGTTGTTATTTTAAAACCGGCCTCTCCAGGACCTGAAAGGGCCTAGAGACACAGCCCAAACACCCTGTACAAAGCATTGTGGGGCATTTTTTAATGTCTTGGGTAGTCTTTGGGGCCATATGTGGTCCATCCTTGCTTTAATGTAGAAGGTCCCACATTCACTTCTAACACAGGAGTGGGACTTGGCTATTCAGATATCTTTATCTACAAACAACAATGTCTTAGTATACAAGGAACTGGAACAATGGAAATGTGTATATGACTGATTTCCAAGATCCTATCCTAACCAGGCTGCACACAATTTTTTAAATGACCCGAGCCAGAGTAAAACCCCTCAATGTATTAAATGCCACTACTAGCAAACCCATTAATTGTTAACAGGCAATAGGACTACCCTCTTGTCTACCCAGAGTTTCTACAAAGCATCTATTGTGCCCTCCCCACCCCCCTTCACTGCTATTTTGTGAATGAAAACATCTTTTTCTCCTTTACCTACATCTAAATACGAACTTATTTGAAACAAAAATGAGAAGGAAGTTGACAAGTTATTTGGCTTGGAATTTTAATAACATAAGTAGTGTACAATGGCAAACATTACAAAATTCATTAATAGGTATAAGAAAGGAAAACTACAGCTTTAAATAACAGTTTCTGTAAAACAGTGTTTTAAATAGTCTGTGTCGCACCCAGGTGCTATCTTTTAAGGCAGTTCCGTTCCTAACAACGTTTGAGCGACGCACAGCACAGAGGAGTTTGCCCCAAGCACTGGGGCTGCACCGTCCCTCAGGACACGACCCTTGAAGACACGACAGCGCAGTCTGGATACGGTGATTGTAGCCTTAGCAACAGCAGCAGAGGGGGAAAAACATTTCATTGTCTTACATCAGATCGGTAGCTTCTGCTTTACAGCTGAATATTGTCATGTGCAATGAAAATAATCTTTGCATTTCATCCTAAAGGTGCTGGGATGTTGATGGTGAAGTGACACATTACTACCCGACACTGTTACAGATTTTATAAATGCTTTTTTAAAAAATAGTTAATCTTTTTTTTTATAAACTGTGTTGACTGTAATGAAAATTGTGACAAAATGTATTGCCTAAATTTCAATTTCCTTACTGATGTAGAAATGGTGGAGTCTGCAGAGGGCAGGGGAGACTGGTATTATTCCTCCAAATGCACTGGAAAAGGGAGGATAAAAATAGACAGGGCTTTGGGTTCTCCTGCACAAAACTGGGGCTGTTTTTTATTAAGCTCTTAGCAGAAAAGCATCTCGATGTACTTAGAACAAATAACCATGTTGGTTGGGAAGGAGCTAAAGGAACCAACTACTTGCAGCTCATAAGCCTCGTCCTCCTAGAAGGATCAGTGAATTAAGTTTTTTAAGGGAAAGTTTGCATTTTAGTTTTAAACACTGAATTACCTAAAACAAAACAAGACACATACACACAACAATCCCTTAGCTGGAGTGCTAAATCCAGCCTAATGCCAAAACCTTACAAAAGGCATGATCTACCACTGATCTTTCAAGGGCAAGCCTCATGTAAATAAAGCAATATTATTTTATTTATGCATATCTCTGCAACTGATTGGATGCAGATATCCGACAGATGCAACTCACATGTTTGCCCATAGAAAGATGGTATGCCTCTGAAAGCCAAAACTTAAAAACACACAGGAATATAAAACAAGTGCAACGTTCCAAAAAAGGTGCAAATCTTAAGAAAATAGGTATGGTCAATCAGAAGACTGGCAAATGCATGAAGAGGACTTGATTGTTTCCAAAATCTCTGAACAAAGCATCCAAACCAGTTTTTTGAGTTGGTGGGAAAGGGCAGTTCATGCAAAGCACAAATGGTCTAATCGACACCCAAATTTAAAATAATGAATCTGTGATTAAGACCACAGTTTTCCAGGTGTCCCAGTGTTTGAAGGCAGGGAGTGCGGTGGTCTTCCAACGATAGGATGGCACAGATGGGAAGAGGCCTAGACCTGGGAATGATTGTCACAGGGAGAAGAGTCTCACAGAGTCTGATGTATTTTGAGCACCACAGAGACTTCTGAATTCACAAGGGGCCTTTTAGGTTTAGGTTTTATCCACATTTAGTACTATAATATGGTTCTGATTGTTCTACTCCGTTTACTGTACTGATTTACTGTACTGTCCTAATTTCACCATTGTTGCTAAATATTCAGTCACAGATAAAATAAACCGAAATGTGTCTTATAATGTGGCTACAAACAATGAACACATGACTGCCACCCTCCTTTGAGGACTGAAGCCCTGAAGCCCACAGCAAGCCATCTTCCAATGGCCAAATTTCCAGTTAAAATAAGCTTACACAGATACACAGCAGCACATCTGAATATGTTTAAGCCTCCTAGTTTGATATTGTGGCATCCTATGAACAGCTTGCTGCTGTCACTTTTCACAACACTCTCCTGAGAAATTATGCTTAGAAGTGCACAGGGTATGGGCTTGAGCCATTATATTATGCCCGTCTCTTTAGGACAAGGGTGGGAATCATGCCACCCTTCAGATGTTAAACTGCAACCCCAAGCAGACCTAGTCAATGGTGAATAATGCTGGAAGCTGCTGTTCAGCAACAGCTGGAAGGCCATACTACTCCCAGTCCTGCATTAGAACTTATACTTACATTATAGCTATCTGTATCTAAATCCGATTCCATGTCTGTCACATCTGCATCTGATACATTTGAAATATAAAACTCAGCCTTCCTCATCTGACACCTCACCAATATGTTTGGATACGATCTCATGTTGTGTGAATTGACCAATAAATCTGGAATGAACCATTTGGGAGAGGGTGTAATTTGAAGACTTATTCCAAGTCTGATCACACTATAATTCTATTATTTGTTTCAGGCGGAAACAAATTGATCAGCCAAAGGCCATTCACTTGAGTTAAAGTTGATGCAGAAGGAAACCTTATAGACAATCAGCTAACAGTGCTGTTGTGGTAAAGTTGGACAACAAATAAATGAAATTCGCTCAGTGATCTTAATATGCTTGATATTAATTATCTTCCATTTGTCCCCATACCTGAAACATATATTTACATGTTATTTTGGCAGAAGCTTAACATAGTTAGATTTAGAATACATGTGATCACCTGAACTGAGAGCCACAATACTGCTTTCCCAAGCAAAGAACTAGGAATGCATGTACAACTGCTAGGCTGAAACTCAACCAATCCTGCACCCTATACACATAAATGACCACCTTGAGAGAAGTGGCCCCTAGATATATTTTGTTGGTTTTATGCTTCAGGACTAGCAGTTTTGCCTATTTGGAAACTGGCATGCTTACAGGCAAGGGCTTGACACCCCTCTTCCATTTGCCACAGAAGAGGATAGATTATTGTTTTGATTTACCAAGAAGATCCTTACTGCTTATCAGAAATAAAACCTGAGCATGCTCTGAAATGTGGTTTAAAAACAAGTATTCAGTCTTCCAATAGTGTTTTATCTCTTATTTTAATGATGTATTAACATGTGGCAGTGCTTTCCATTTCCAACAAGAGCTTAGATATAGTGTGACTTTACCTGTGAAGAATTTGGATGAAGCAAAAGAAAAATAATGGTAAAAACACTTACAGTTGTGAGAGTTGTAGGGGCAGGAACCCTATAACATTAAATTTAGATATACTGGTATATTGTGGAAATATTAAAACATTTAGTAGCTTGTAAGAAAATAAAATTTAAAAGAACCAGAAAAACTTCATGTACATTTCCAGGAATTAACCAAAGCTATTTTCTTGTGCTGTTTGCGAAATTTTAAGACAACAAACATATACAAAGATTTAAAAAGTACCAACAACATGAATAAACTCTGATGCATATAAAATTATGAAGGAACAAATCCAGGGTGACCTATTAGTAAGAGCTCTAATAGAAGGAATAGCTTGAAAAACATTGATCTTCATCTTAGTCGCATTGTCTTTTCCCATTAAACTTCCACCTCAGTCACAATCAGTACTTTAAAAAAATTACAAATAAAAATAAAAATACAGAACATTTAAAGACACATTTCTTTTGGAAGTGGTATTTGCTTAAAACACAAATAGTTTTCTTGGACAGGACATTCTAAACGTGTTCTTGCTGCAATTTTCCTGCCTAGAAAACTGGGTATCTATTACATAATGTGTAGAAACACATGGAAGAGATGAATTGATGGAGGGATGTGGGTAAAATGTTTCGTTACATTTTCAGAGACCTATTCCATTTCTTCTCACCACTTGCAACAAAAGAATCAGCAGTCTCATTTTGCAACCAGTAACACCATGCAAATTATGCAAACCCAAAAGAGACTAAGAAACTGCCAATAAGTTTGTGGGGATATTTTTGTACCTGTATTTACAAT